ACAAATATACGCGATTTAAGTCCGGAAAAACAGTTTCATTTCCCATGTGTAACAATCACGAAAACCTAAGAACTCGATATACAATAAGTTTAATTTATTACATTATATATATTTTCATAACATATATTTTTAGTATTCGAATAAAACACAGTGGCAATTATCCTATTACCTGACATAGCCATACTTCTTTTATACAAGAGTGTTTACGGGACCGACCGTAAATGACAAAGCGTAATTACTGTATAGAATCTACCCTACTACAGAAAGAAAAGTAGTGACATTCTTGTGTGCGGTACTATTCGAATACTGCCAATGGACGGATTAATGATACCAGACTTATCGGGTAATAGATAAATCCTATTTAGGACTTATACAAAAACATAGGATTTATCTATTTTACCCAGTCAATGCCAAAAGTTCCGTAAAGAAAAAGTCGATAACTTAGTTGCGAAATACCGCGAATGGTTCCCTCAACTGATTTCTTATTCTGCTCTTGATACCCTGCTAATATGGTTTATCAAGTTACACAACTCACTTGTTGAAACGAAATCTTTCTTATTTTACGTATAGTCCGTAACTATAAAGATCATCATCAGCTAAAATGCATCCACTGCTGGACATAAGCCTCCCCTTGGGCACGCCAAATCTCCTGGTCCTATGCCACCCGCATCCAGCCGCTACCGGCCACCTTTCTCAGGTCGTCCGTCCATCTTGCCCCAGGGCGTCCTAATCCACGTTTTTCTTGGTTATCACTCTAGAATACATCCGCTTCATCAGCCATTAACCCTCATGCAGACATATTCGACCCACTGCCACTTAAGCTTACTGATTTTGCGAGCTGTCAGTTACTTTAGTTCTCTGAAGTATGACGTCATTAGGGATTCGGTCCATTTGAGAAAGCCTAAAGCATTGTTCTTCTTTCTCAAAGTTGTGCTTGTCAAACTGGATTATTGAATATTTTGGCCAAGATAGACGTGCTTAATTATGCACAATCTCAAAAGTTGTGAAGAATCGTTTAAGCTGTTCAGCATCGCCCAAGCGAGGGTCAATCAAACAAACCCTTTGCAAATGCAATTTCCGCAGCACTGAATCAGCAGAGAGTGATGGCGAGATATCATAAGGTGTACTACATAACCTCCCGAGAAACACACTTCATGATGATCACGAACACTCTTACAAGTTACTGTGAATGCCTATAGGCGGCATTTTTCAATTTGTCTTAATAACATGAAACACACATACCCGAAATCTTTTATAATACATTTATAAAGTACTACTTAAAGTGTATTTTTGTTAAAAAGAGTCTCTTAGGCTTTTCTGAATGGATGCGATCATCCTGCGCCCACTACAATCTCGACAATGGTTAATTATAAGTCATTTTAGTTTGTAACGGTGGTTTCACTGTATATTTAGTGCAACTCTTGAAATACTAATAATCGCCTTCGATAATATGGTCACGGTTATAGACTGGAAACATTCTTTGATCCCATAGCATATAACTTAATGTTCTCTTACCAGTGTAAATATAGGTACTGAGTCTTCCCCTCTCGCTGAGTGGAGCCCATTTGCCAAGGATGGTATGGATGCTCGGGTAGAAGGCTGCCTGTGTCATGCCCTGTAGTAGCCGACACGCGCAAGTCGCCAGCCAGCCACCCTATGTTGAGAAATACTTGAAATAAGGCGTGGATATATGATGTTGCTTCATACTGCTTAGTAGAATTTTATTGAGTAAAATAGTCACACGCTTGGCCCCAAACTCACCTGATATTAAAATGTGACCGATGTTGATAGCCTAAAATAGCGAGTATCTCGAGTTCTTAGGTTTTTGCGATTATTATACATTGAAAATGAAACAATTTTTAAGAATCTAATTCTAGTTCTTTGGGTTTTTTTAAAGCAAACCGATCCAAGGTAAATAATAATCAAGGTTATAAATTCAGCCAAAAAATTTTAGTTCCACGACCCTTCCGGTAGGTATTATACTTTGGCCGCGCAGGTGGGTCATCTACCTGATGCATTCCAGTAGTCAGTGGTAATCGAGCTATATATAGTATATATATCATATATGTATATATGTATAATAACTAGATGGTGTGCGTTGCGCCGGGCCGCTACAATGGCCCGCGAGGGCTTTCTTTATATTTTGTGTCAAATTGGGAGTTGAACTTTATATTTCAGTAGAAAATCCTCTTTAGTTGAGTTTGAGTGGGAGGGATCTGCGCAGATTCAGAAAAGTCAATCGTTTATGGCGGCCATCTTGAATTTGCCAGATTGGAAAATTTTTGATCCCGGTAGTACCTGCCTAGGGTCCTTGACAAATTTTGCTTGAAAGTCATACACCCATCTCTGACGCTTTCACCGGGTCGTTTATCACGGAGACCTGGTCGACTTGGATGTTGCATATTGCGCTGGGCTGCTAAAGCGGCCCGCGAAAGCTGTGTACGAGGCTTGTGACTTTAAATCTAGGAAAGATTTCGTCGGTCGGTTGGTAATTACTTTGGTTTCATTGGTGATTTTTTTAGTTAGGTTTATTTAGGTGGGAGGGAGCCAGGTAGTTGACATAATCGTGACAAGTCGTATCCTTATATAATTCAGAAAAAACTACTCATATATCAATCAATAATTGCGAAGATTCAGTAAAGTCAATTTTATATGGCGGCCATCTCGGATTCGCCATATTGAAAAATTTTTAGTTCCGGTTGAACCTGATCAAAGTCCTTGTCAATTTTTGTTTGAAAGCCATCTCTGACGCTTTGGCCGGGCAGCCGGTGTCCTACCTGATGCAGACCACTTCTTGAAAGTTTTGGAATTTTGTGGTATTCAATATTCTCAGTTCAACACAATCCTTGTGCATTTATTAAACACACTTCGTTCTTGGAGAACAATTATGTTGGACGGTGGAAAATGTATGGCGGCCATGTTAGGAAATGGCGGAATCAAAAACTACAAACACAATTTCGTATTATGGGGCCTTATACGCGGCCAAGTGCCAAATTTCAGCACGTTCGGTGAACTATTTTCCGTCCGCCATCTTTAATCGTCCATTTTGAATAAATGAAGTTGACAATCGATTACCTCGAGCGATCCCGGAAACATAATATACCTATTTCTAATAGTTACGGAGATAAAGTCATTTTGTTTTTCGAATTTCGAATATTTTTAACTACTGATAAAAACTGCCCAGGGTGTGGACCTACATTTGTTTGAAGACCTTGGGGCCAAGACGTATACTGTGGCCGGGCAGCTGGGGTCCTACCTGATGTGGAGCACTTTTCGAAGGTTTTGATACTTTCTGATAATCACCAAATTCACCCAACCTTTATTTGCATACATCACTCTTACACACCCGCTCTTCTGGGAGAAACATGCTGATCAAAAAAATTGAAAATTCACTTGTATGGCGATCATCTTGGAAAATGGAGGAATCCAAATTTCGTTCACAGATACATACTATAAGTACTAAACTTACGAAAACAGCCATCCATGGTGTCAGTATAGATAACACTCCATTAACACCCAGAGCCATCATAATGGGAATCTTTCCTCCCAATTTCTGCGCGATCACACCCATTGGGATCATCATGCTTGTGTAGCCCACGACAAAGGAAAAGAGGATCATTTCTTGAGTAGGCTTGTTCCAATTGTAGGTCTAAAATATTGCATAAAATCATTTGTAACATAATATGTCCTATACATATGTAAGTATTGTACACTGTTTTAGTTGTCAATGCGATAAATCAATTCGTAAGCAGAATTTATAAAATGTGTTTTCTGAATTCCCAATTAGTAGAATTCAAAACAGTACCAAAAGCAAAAAAGTTTAAGGCCCTTTTATCAAAAACTTCCTTTTTGCCTATGGAATAATAAGCAAATTAAAAAGTTGATACTCAAAAAAGTTAGTATAATACGGAACTTGATAATTAATGTTCTGAAAAGAAAAATTTACTCGGTAAACACTCCAGGTTTTCAAACTCCCTTTACAAAGGTCTGTGTTTTCCGGAAGTGAAAAAACATTTGAAAAATTTCCCACAGTTACGTTATCGTGACTTAATTCGATTTGATAGCAGTTGGTGGCATTTCCTGTCATTGCCACCAATGTAACACTCAAGTGAGATCTCATGCCATATCCAACAGTAAGGCTGATGAAGAGAATTAGTGCTTGCATGTGCCGAGCACCAAAACCTTTAGGAGGTGGACATAAGTCGAGGGGTGCTGAAAAATAGAAATAATGTTTGCTTTAATAAGAAAGCATACATTGCACAACTTAAGAAGAAACCTACGTCAAGAATGACTTTATCATTGTAAATATATTGGTAATTGTTTCATAATGTCTTCATCATATTTGAACAATAAAGTTATTTACATAAACTAAAAATATATATCAGGCACAGTCAGACAATAAGTTAAACAGTATTATTATTATTAGTACAGAATTTTAATTTTTTCTTCTTTACGTAATTTTCGAACACAGATCGGTTGTAAATGACGTAAATAAACTGAGTTCACATCACATATTAAAACAACTAAAATAGACTTATTATGTCCACAGAGTATGTCAATGAATGCAGTATTTTGTTCTGTACAATTAAAAGGAATTAACTGTAAAATACCAACCTTTATTCTGCTCTAAGCTTACTGTTTGCGGCACACTCGTATACTCGTCCTTTCCACTAGCCATTTTGATAAGCAATGGACCCATTTTCAATCATTTATTAAAATTTACCCAAGCATTAGTTGTCCTCATCGTGAGTTCACGTCATCTCTTTGTGCAAATACATACAGATAACATTATTATATAATTTATAATAACAGTCTTTGTATCTTTTCATATTAAAAGTCCTAGAAGAACGGTATAAATGTAGTCAAAAATTCTTAATAAATCGTCAATCGGCACGTTAAAAAATTCAGCTTCATTACTCAAATTTCAATACGACACAATTGAAAATTTAAATAATCCTAAAAAATACGTTCCACAGATTTGTTTAGATTAAAATAGGGTGGAATCATTTATTTCATATTGTAGTCACTATATCACGATTTAAAACACAATGTCAAGTATCGATATGATTGTCACTAATATAAACATGACAATTATTAAATATTATGTTATAGGTGTATTCCGTGACCATTCCAAGACATTCGACTGCATGCGCCATAAGAGTCTGGTCAGGGATCTTCTCTATTATAATATGGCGCGCTGTGATCTCGCCTTCTGAAGTAGTACTTCATTGTTAAGGTCCAGGAGGTTGACACCAATGATGCGACGTCTACTGGTTCTGTATTTGACGTGGGCGTCCGTCAAGGTTCAATTCTAGGTCAATTTCTATTTTTAGTTTATACTAATGATTTATCTTGCGTCGTGAGGAGTATAGAATATAGATAGTATTGTTTGCTGATCCCGATTCAATGTTAGAACGCAGCAATGTGCAGATGACGACATAAATAGTGTTATTTTCAAGGTAATAAATTCGTTTACAGTTAATAACTTACCACTAAATGAGAAAAAACAAATTGTATAAAATTTACGTCACCTACTTAATGATAAATGATCACAAATAGAAATAAAAAATTGACTTTGTCAGCACAGTTGTATTTTAAAGTACAACGCTAAATGTCACATTGTAGTAGGCTTCATCAAAAGTAAGATTGTCACAACGATCGAGCTTTGCTGTGCATACGATTAAAACAATTCCACAAAATTTTGTTTTTTTTGTTTTTTTTTTATAAAATTCACACAATATTATTCTTCTGCCTTGGATCTGACTTCGTGCCCTTACTAAATAATACTAACAAATATTGTAGTATCTATTATTTTCAATGACAATCCCCGCCAGTCTTTATCTTCTGCTATTATTTTGAACCTTTGAAGACTTCATTTTTTTGAATCGTTTTGAATCGCATGTAAATTGTACAAAGCTAAGAGAGTTAGGAAGTCCCATTTAAGCGATATTGTATCGAACTTGGGTATTTTTCTACTTAACGTATTTAATTATTCTTATACCTATCCTCTACATTAGGCATTAAAAAATTATAGCAGCATTTTTATGTACATTATTAGTATTCTTTCTGAAATATTAAGAATTTATGTAAGTGGCATTATTTAATCTATTTACACTAAGCAATGACATGTGTTATTTTAGGAACTCTGTTTATTTTTATAAGAAAAGGAAATTATTTACGTAAAAAACAAACACCTGCGTCACAGCTAAGATATAAAATTTCCATTGGCGTTCATTTAATTCGGAAGTTGTATAATCACTGTTTTCTGTTTTGATAGTAATTAATGATACGCTGTTGTCACTAGCCCACATAGCCCGTCCTAACCGTCCTATCGTCATAAACATTTTTACTTTACATTTAATTTATGAGTTTTTAGTTAAAGTAAATCAGGTATATGCCGCTACGGAGATTCGAGCCGTCGATCTCTAAATTTAGAAGAAATTGTTATTCCACTAGTGTACCACCAGTCAGAACAGTTTATTATATGATTTCAAGAAGAACGACTTAGTGACGCAGCAGATTTAAAAGATGGCAAAGTTCTAAAAGATAAAGCGATATTATGATGAAAGGGAAGTTACAAACGAGTTGTTAAAAGTTGTTTCTTTTTTACAGCCCTGGAAGATTTAGATGAGGGGGGAGGCTGAAAAGACAAACTTTAAACAATAAACAAAATCATAAACATTGCGATACTGTACAAAATGAGAACAAACAAAATGTATAAAATTTACATTTCCTAATGTTAGACAGAGAGAAAATTAAGAATAAAACCGTTGATCATAATCTGGATATAACCAATTGCATAACCAATTGCATTTAGCGGAAATACATGAAAAAGACTTACTGGCTTGTCACCGTTTGGGACCATGGAGATCCTCACAAAGTAAACCTAGAGCTGTGCTGGTTCGATTTGGTGATTTTGAACTTCGCCGATCTGTCTGGGACAGTAAAACTGCGTTGAAGGGCTCTGGTATCACCACATCTGAGTTTCTGACTAAGGCGAGGCACTCCACATTTGTCGCAGCTCGTAAGCACTTCGGTGTTAATCGGTGCTGGTCTACAGAGGGGAAAATCATGATCGTTCTTCCTGATAAGACCAGAACGAAAGTAGAGGCCATGGCTGAACTTCGGCCCCTGATTGCCCGATTCCCTGCGGCTGCAGCTGGGAAAACTGACGTCGCACAGGCTGCAGTAAATTCATTGGAGACAGCTAGTAAATCGACGAAGGGTTCTGCAGCTGCTAAGTCGCGTCGGAGGTTGCACTAATTGTGATTGTGATTTTTGTTTCTCGTAATTTGATTTCTTTTTTTTTATTGTTTTTTGTTCTTTGTGTTTAAATTAATTTTTGCACTATATGTAGGTATTTCTATCTTATTTCTGTGGTAGGTAACATAGCACCTTCTTTATAGAAGTTAATTTTTTCTTGTTAAATTTAAATTTATTCTATCAAACCTCAGCTGTCAACTGTCAATGAATTTAGCTTTATTATTTTTTGGCTACGGCCTCTTGCATTGTGTTGCTTTGTTCATGGTTATATTTTATTCCTACGGCGAGTGCTGATGGTTCGGCGTTGTTTTTGTCATAGTTTGTACGTTGGTTTTTTTTATATACTATATTTTTGTGTATTATTACTCATATATTTATTAAATTTAATATTATATTTTATTTTTGTGTTAATTAATATGGATGTTACTTTAGGGATAAATGATAGTTTTTACTCGTGCTCCTCATCTCCAAGCCATTTTCTTAGTGCTGATGACAGTAATGATTCCATCGCTTTGACTCTGCATGATCAGTTATCTTCAGCCTTCTGCAATTTCCCCAAAAATTTCAATGTTGTTCATATCAATGCTCAAAGCGTCCCCTCTCACTATTCTGACCTCCTTGCTTCTTTCATAGATTCTCCTGTTGACGCTATTCTTATATCAGAAAATTTTCTAAAGCCTTCTCTTCCTTCTATTCATTTCAGTCTTCTCGGATTTAAGCTCGTTCGGAATGACCGGACGGGAAAAAGTGGTGGAGGGGTGGCAGTATATCTGCGAGCTGATATTCAACATGTTGTTGTTGATGCTTCTCCTTACCTTGTATTCTAACTCCGCGGAGCACCTATTTTTAAACATTTCCTTGCATCACAAGAAAGTGCTCCTTGCAGTCTTTTATAGCCCCTCCCTTAATATCGACTACTTTCAGTCCCTTGAGTGTCTACTCTTCGACCATTCTCCTTCCTTTGATCACACTATTTTAATGGGTGACTTTAACACGTGTTTACTAAAAAATGACACTCGTGCCCATAAATTACTTTCTCTAATTTCTTCTGTCAACTTGCATATTTTACCTTTGTCTGCTACTCATCATTTTCCCAACTGCACTCCATCTCTTCTTGATCTTATGATAGTCTCGTCCCCTGAGCATTGTGCTTCCCATGGACAGTTCTTCTGTATTTTCTTATCATGACCTTGTCTTTCTCTCGTATAAAATTCGTTTTCCTAAGTGTAAGTCGAAATTTCGTATTCTCCGAAATTTCAAGGCCATTAATTTGGAGGCGCTCAAGAGTGAGGCGGGTAATATTGACTGGACTCCTGTGTTGGACTGCGTAGTTATTGATCAGAAGGTAGCTTTGCTCAATGAAATTATATTAAGGCTTTATGATCGTCATGCGCCTTTAAAACGGGTTAAAATCAGACATGCACCTGCCCCCTGGTTATCACAAGATATTAAGATCGCTATGGCTCTCAGAGATAAGGCGAAACGACGCTGGAAGAGGCTTCCTACAGATGACAACCTAGCTCGTTTTAAATACCTGCGTAATCGCTGTAGTCGCTTGTGTAGAGATGCTAAGAGACGGCACATTCACGATAACGTTGAGAAATGCGATTCCACTCAGATCTGGAAATTCCTAAAGTCCATTGGTATTGGTCGATCCACTGCTTCTGGTGAATCGTCCCTTCCTGATCTTAACGCGCTTAATAGACATTTTTCCCTACCCCCTGTTACTTTAGATAAGTATCGTAAAAGCGCTACCCTTCGCATCTTGGCTGACTATACTTTACCGGCATGTACCTCTTTCTCCTTCCGGACTGTTGCCGAATGTGAGGTCAAAACCCATATTCTCTCTATTTCTTCTACTGCTGTTGGCAATGATGATCTCAGTTCCCGTATGATTAGACTCATACTCCCTGAACTTGTTCCTATCCTCACTCATGTATTTAACTTCTCTTTAGAAGCTAGTTCTTTCCCTTCTCATTGGAAACTCGCCCATGTTATACCTTTACCCAAAACGTCTAACCCTACTTGCCTTTTCGAATTCCGTCCCATCTCCATTCTCCCATTTCTATCCAAAGTCCTTGAACACATTGTCAACAAGCAGTTAATGTTGTGTCTTTCTTCTAATAAGTTGCTTTCCCCGTTTCAGTCAGGTTTTCGTTCTGGCCATAGCACTGTGACTGCACTGTTGAAGGTAACAGATGATATTCGTCTCGCAATGGACAATGGTCTTCTCACTTTGCTTATACTTCTGGACTTCAGCAGTGCTTTCAGCTCTGTGGACTTTGACGTATTGCTTGCTTCCCTTCGCTCTTTTAATATTTCTCCTTCGGTTATAGCTTGTTTCGACTCCTACCTCAGAGGCCGCTCGCAGTGTATTCGCTCTGACGAGGCTTCCTCTGATTGGTGTGACTTAGT